CGGAGTTCACACTGTCAAATTTTTGTACAAAGCTAACGTTTAGCTCGAATGTAATGCGAAAGACACAAATTGAGTGACTCCAATTCAGAGGAAAGATGCAGGAGACCAAGCAAGTATCCGCTTATACGGGAAATTCCGTGCACGGAAAACGTCGTATTCGACAAAAACCTAAAGCCGTCACCTAATCTCAGCAATGTACCCGCTTTGATTCCTTCTGGCCGTAGTTCGTTCGCCGAGCTGGGCATTTGGGTTGCAAACGTGTCATCACCAATCTAGGTGACATCATCCGTGTGTTGAGGTCGAGAGTGCGTGGTTGTTGCACGTTTATGGGTCAATATAGAGTCTGCTCACCCAGTTCGACCTTGGCCAGCGACTGATCGTCTGAGTAAGCGTTTGTATTCCCTGTTTCTGGACCTGTTCCCTGATTGGTGGATATCTGTTGACTTGAGCTCTTTGAAATAGGGACCGCTAAGTCAAGGGCAATACTGAGTCAGCCACGATCAGCAGACTGACGGACAAAGAAACAGGACTGCCCATAGAGGCAAACGAACACAGGTCATGGCTGAGGGGCGGTCGGGGTTCAAGTCTCAAGGCAAACCGGACGAGCACCGGTCGGAAAGCAGGTCAACCAAAAGGCCAATAGGAATGCTCACCCACACGATCAAAGTTCCGTCAAGGTCGACATGTTTGCATGTATGACATGCATGTGACTTACTTGCAACCGAAATGCCCAGCTCGGGAACAAAAAGCAACCGTCATCACAACCTGAGCGACCAATATCGATCGATTACTTCGTTATTCTTTGATTTCTAGGTTTTGTCGGACAGGCATACCTTTCGCACAGTTCAGTCGCCAGAATCAGACGAAATATGAACGTACTGGATATAGTTTAATGCCGCTGAATTGCAAGAGTTCCTGTCGAGTCATGCCATCCCATCCCTGCGACTGACTGTTCCCTCCCGCCTGCAAGCTGAACCGGCAGATTCGTACGAACCCCTGAGTCACAAAACTCCAGAGGTTGCTCCGCTCTCCTTATCATAACATTACGTGAACAAACCTAAAAAGAGGGGTCGTCGATAGGGTCATAGCTAGAAAGTTGAAATTTATTCAACAGCCCGCCGGAAATTTTGCACCTATCGGACTCATTAAAGGTGACCCAAAATTTCACCAACCCACTTTTTATTAAAACATTAAATTGAAGTCAAATCGAGGTGGAGTTTGATTGGAAATGTGGTGATTGCTCGACCACAGACCGTCCCACGTCTGACTGGGCCGACATTCACTTTAGCCAAGTATTTTACCTGGGAACACCATAAACGAGAGATTCAGCTGGGTTCCAGGTGAGTCTCTCGCAGAGTTGTTTGCAACTTAGTGTACTTTGCAAAGTATTTTACTTGATAAGGTACTACACATAAAATTGCGTAGAAGAGCCCCATTTGTCTGGTCGGCACTGAAAACCGAGTGTGCTGAGGTCGAGATAGCTCAGTGGTTACGGTGCAAACTTACTGCCGGGGAGGTCCGTAGTTCGAACCCAACCTCTCGACTACCTATGTCTGAATTTCGGAAATCTGGCAGGAGCTCAATCATCTTGTTGCCTTCGGGTGA